TTAAGTACATTCTATTCCTTGATAATTTCTGACACTAGAAATTAATAAGACCTTCTTTATTCTAGATCATTTAATTTTTAGTTGTATTTTCTTCCATGTCACTAGTTTAAACCTTGCAATAGCTCTTCAAACTCTGCCACAAGGAGGACCTGGCCAATGCCTTCAGAAAAATGACTGCTGAGGCTTATTAAATACAGATTGGACATTTGGTGAAACAAACCATTGAGGGTGTCCTGTAAAGGAGAAGAGAGAGGTCTTTTATGTTTATTATTCACCAATTCCTTACACTATCTCCAGTAGATCTGTTAACTTGCTCTCTGAATATAAGAGGTTTAAAATGAAAAAAGTGTTCACGTTAGGTTTATATTAAAATATTAAACTGGTGGGTGTGATGACTCTTCTTATCTTTGCCAGAAACAGCAGCTGTCTTATATAGAAAAGACCTTTGTTATATTCACTGATGTGTTTCTTGCAAGCACAGTGCATGCACATAGCATGCACTTGACAAATATGGGTGGGAGTTGATGTTTCACTGACTAGAGCTATGTATATTGCCAGGTTTGGGGTGAGGGAGGCAGGGATAATAAAGTCTGGACTTCATAGCTTCGTATGAAGAAGGTGCAATGTAAGAAAAACTCCAAATGAAGGTAGAAACTACATTTCAGTTTTACTTTTTAGTTGACTGTAGAGATATTGATCTACGTGTAAATGTGAAACTGCCTCAAGCCTGGCACAGTAGGATGTGGTGCTGAATACTGGAAAATATTCAAAGAAAAAAAAATCTGTTGGCCAGATCATTAAGCAAAACAGTGGCATCCACCCACTAAAAGAGATAAGAGGCACTACCCTACTTCATCTGACGCTTTGGCATCTGTCCAAAGCAATAAAAATCAGATCCGGCTTGATTTGAACATAACAAGGAAGAAACAGTTCTCAAGAAGATCCTTTTTCACAATGGGGGAAGTGAGAGGGTCATTTTGTACAATAATGGAAAAATCAATTATTTTTCAATCCGATGGAGTGTCCTCATAAATTTAAATCACAGAACAGCATGTGACAAGCCTTCATAAAAAACAATGACCACGAGGGAGAGAGTAAAGGATCATAATCCCAAGGTACTAAGAAGGAAAGATCTTTCAAGAGGAGAACGACACTTTTCCTGCTAGTGTGTTTTCTGTGAACGTACACAGCGGTATGCACTGAATGTACATCATCCTGCACAATTCGCCTCTATGGAATCCTGTTCAACTGGCTTCCCATTTGGCTATGGCTTAAGTAACATGCTGAAATCCTTTCTCTGTAGCATGATAATGCAGCAGTAACACAGAAAAACCCTAAAGATTGATTCTTCTTACTGGCAAAAATTAACAATATACTATATGTAATATATATTTATATATATTACCAAGAAAATAAGAAAGTAGAAATACTTTTGACAGAATTTAAAAGTTAAATTCTGGCCAGGTGTGGTGGTTCACACGTGTAATCTCAGCATTTTGGGACGTTGAGGCAGGAGGACTGTTTGAGTCCAGGAGTTCCAGACCAGCCTGGGTAACATGGCAAAATCCTATCTCTACAAAAAATACAAAAATTAGCCAAAAATGGTGGCACACACCTGTAGTCCCAGCTACTCAGGAGGCTGAGGTGGGAGGATTGCTTGAGAGCAGGAGGTTGAGGCTGCAGTAAGCCCTGATAGTGCCATTGCACTCCAGCCTGAATGACAGAGAAAGACACTCTCACCCTCTCTCTCTCTCTCTCTCTCTCTCAAAAAATAAGTTAAATTCTAATATGAAGTTTTTGAGATTGGAAAGTCAGCTCTTGCAAAAAGCTGTGAAGAATGTATGAACATTGGAAAGATGGTCTTCAAGCCTGCATGAGGGTTTGGGAGAATGAATACTCTGGGAAAATATGTGCCCCACAATTTCTTTAATATTAAGGTTCAGAATGTACAAACATTAATGCCTGTTTACGATACTTAAAAGGTGAATAAATAAACATGAGGGTGTCTACTGTGTAAACCTATGACTCGGTTATCATATTCCATGTACACTAACAAATTCCTTGTAGACTGGCCTCAGGGATGACAGCAGATTCATGATGGGCTTCTGTGCAGGAATGCCCTCTGTTTCTCTTTTTAAACAGTACTGATGCAACAACATGGCTATCTGAGGACCAGAAGTGCACCCCTCTGTGGTATTTCCTCAGATCCTGGCATAGATAGTTCAAGAATATGAGGAATGAAGGCCCTACCTGGTGGACAGCGACTCATGAAGTGTCAAGGTAGCCCTGTTAAATTAGTACGGCCAACTGCTAATCCCCTTGTGCCATGGGGGTTGAGGGATTCTGTGTTTTCTAGAGGGATAGTCCCTGATGGATTCAAAAGAGAGCTGTCAATGTCTGACTGCAATCAGCATCGCCCTGGCACTTCACAGGAATAACAAGGACCCTAGAATGCCGTGGCCACCCTCCGTCCAGACACCCCCCTATTGGAAGTGTCCATCGGTGAGCTAGGGTTTAGGAAGAAAGGAGAGTATTACAGTGTGTGTCTAAAGAAGAGAAGAGTGCACAATTCAAATGTCTCCAGTTTTCTAGGAACAAATCCACTTAGAACGTCAGTCACACGACAATATTTCTAGCACTCCAATTAACACCATAATTGAAGAGAAGATTCTCTGGTTTTGTTTATGCTGAGAAGAGCTGTTTCCTCCCCAGAAAGTGACCTATTCTTTGTCTTACGCCAAGAAAGCCATAAGGAAAATGCTGACCCATGAAGGTGACACATCATGCTTAATCACTACTTTCAATTAAAACAATATAAAATAAAGCATGTACTGAGCCACTCAGGCAGAACATAATATCCCAAGCAACAGACACACCTATTGAAACACTTGACATTTCTGAGGTGTCTGGTTCCCAGCTGTGTACGGAGAGTAAATCCATGACATTAGGTGTTGGGTTGCCCTGGAGAAACTTAGGGCAGAGCTGTCACAGCAAGCTACATTTGCTGAATAAGAGATTTGATAAGAGAGTTCTCAAGAGTTGCCTTAGCTTTTCAATACAACAAACTCCCAATACTAAGAGCTAAAAAAGGTTTGCAGCCATGGATTTCCCAATGGGAGGATACCCTATGGTGGCTCACAAGATCTGGCCCTTGCCTCCCTCTCTGGGCTTATATTTGGCCACCTTCCTCTAGCGCAGTAGTTTTCAACCAAGGGGACAGTCTCCCATCCAGTCAGGACCCTGGGGCAGAACACATGCCTACCTTCCAGTATTCCAACAGCTCACTTCTCAAAGGCAGCTTCAAGCCAAGTGTTTAAGCTGGGGTGAGGCTGAAGCGAGAAAACTCAGCACTGGTTTCTTTCTCTTTGGCTCAGCTCAGCCAAATGAAAATTCCTCGAAAAACAACTGCTTGTTTTTTTTGCTGGTCTCTTCAGATAGTGTAAAGCAGCCACAGTCTTTCACAAAACTTGCATCTAGGGGAAGAGGCTAAATGCACAGAGGGCTTTTCCAGCTTTCTATAACCACTGAAGCCACTCAGGGCCCTTCCTGCCCATGAGAAGGCTGAGCAAATGGCCACGAGAAAAGTCACTGGAAGAGGGTCATTTAGTAGAAGAATTTCCACAAGCTAAATGGGCTTTCTAAAGTCTAGAGATTCCATATGCTATTTTCACGACCAAGCCATCGAATAGTGCTATCCAACTCTACCACAATCCATATAACAGGCCCACAAAACAGGTCTCTCCCATTTTAAATCCTTCAGTGGCTCATAGGATCTGGCCCTTGCCTCCTTCTCTGGGCTTATATCTGATCACCTTCCACTAGAACAGTAGTTTTCAACCAAGGGGTAATTCTGTCCCCGTATGGGATATTGGGCAATAATCTAGGGACATTTTTGGTTGTTACAATTAGAATGAAGGCAAGGGGATGCTACAAAAAATCCTAAAATGCAGAAGACAGTCTCTCACTGAAAAGAATTACCTGGTCCAAATATCAAGTGTCAAGGCTGAGAAACCCTGTTCCAGCCATACCAAACTTTTTGCTATTCTCTGAGCACGCCAAACTTTCTCATTTACTTTTGTGCTTAAATACATTCCTTTACCTGGAATGTCTTGCCCTATATTCCCTGTCCAGGAAATTACCATTTCCATATAGAATCCTATTCAAATGTTGCCTCCTCTACATCATCCTTCCCAGATTCCTCAGAGTTGGATGTTCCTTCTTCTGTGCCTCCAGAGCTTCTGGTACATAACTCATTAGAACACACTCACTATGTTTCCCCAAGATACTCTGCTGCCTGCTGAAGGCATGTCTCAAGTTGTATTCATCATTTATCCCTGTAGTGCCCATTTGGTAATCACCAATTTAATTAGGGAATAAATCAAAATGTTATACCTTTTCCATTGGAAATGGAAAAGATGCACCTTATACTCTCTTGCAACTATGTCTAAGGGATAATGGTGTCCTCAACATTAAAAACAGCAGCACCAAATACTTATCAAGTGCTTGTAATGTGGACAGGCACTATATGTTACACACTGATACACAGAGTAACTCATTTCATCCTTACCTGACAGGAATCCTGTCAGGTAGGTTTATTATCAGTATTTTACAGATGGAGAAATTGAGTAACCAAGAAGTCAGGCCATTTGTCTAGGGTCACTGACACTAGCATCTGAAAAAGGTGATATTTAGTCCCAGGAAATCTAGCCCCAGAGCTTCAATATTCCAGTATTCATGCCAAGGCAGTTATACTAAAACCCAGTATTTCAGCCACTCAGAGGCCTCTGGCAAGTATAAACGACACCTCCAGAGGACTACACAGCCACAGAGTAGCCACCAGCACCTGTGACCCTGCTTGTGGGGATCGCACAACTCTTCAACTCTGGAATGCCGCTGGCAGGAGACGCAACCTCTTTACATCATGGAACGACATATGTATTCCAGAAAATCATAGTACCATAAAGAAAATACAAGTGCTGATTCCTCAAAGTACCTCTTACCTTGTTCATGCTGCAGGGACAGGAGCAAGGGATCAGACATGCCACAATGCGAGGCAGCTTGTGATGATTCTCCTCATTCCTGGAGCCCTCACTTTCTGAAGCAGGCAGCTGCTCTGTGAGTATAAACAAAGAAGAAATCCATCAGCTGGTGCTCAGGGAGGCACAGAACACTACCATGTCCAACGGCACTTGCTGCCATGATGGCAATGATCCAAGTCTGCACTGTCCAACATGGTAGCCACTGGTCAGATGTGGCTATGAGAATTTGAAAAGCAACTAGTACAAATGGGGGCTGCCACGGCTCAACAACTAGAACTTCCACAGAGTTGCTAGGAAGGCAGTGTACCATGAGGGAATTCAGAAGGTCAGTTTTCCATGGGCCAAATGAACTAAACAATCCAATTCCCCCCAAATAGAAAAAGAGTCCACCACGTTTTTATTCATGCTATTTATTCTTTACATGAAGCTTTTGATTCATATGAATTACACTGTAGAGTAAAACAGTCATTGTACAGTTTCAGGGTTCTTCTTCGTATTTTTAATTTTTTTGACGTAGAGTCTCATTCTGATGCTCAGGTTGAAGTGTAGTGGCATGATCACGGCTCACTGCAGCCTCAACCTTCTGGGCTACAGTGATACTTCCACCTCAGCCTCCCGAGTAGCTGGGACTACAGGTATGCACCACAATGTCCAGCTAATTTTTGTATTGTTTGTAGAGACAGGGTTATTCCATGTTTCCCAGGCTGGTCTCAAACTCCTATGTTCAAGTGATCCTCCTGCCTTAGCCTTCCAAAGTGCTGGGGGATTATAGGTGTGAGCCACCGTACCTGGCCAGTTTCAACGTTCTTAATTTGTCCAATATTAGGGAAAAATATTTTTTAAAAATAACTTCAACCACTTAAATAGATTTGTAGCTTTTCCTCTGAAAGGTGTTCGCAGGTGGAATTGAGAAGAGAGCAAAACGTTGTAAGGTTCCTGATGGTCAGAGAGAGAGAGAGAGAGAGAGAGAGAGAGAGAGAGAGGGAGAGAGTGTGTGTGTGTGTGTGTGTGTGTGTGCGTGTGTGTGTGAAGTTGCATCTAGGAAGGATTTATATATCTGCACCTTCCCATAATACATGGAATTGGAGGTTTAATTGGAACTGCAGTGCTTTTAAAAATGAAAAACAGACTATTTTTAATTATAATATAGTAACAATATAGAATATGTTCAATAGGAAAAGAAAAAGGTACTCATAATCCCACTAGCCCAGCAGAACCATCTTTAGTTCTTAGTAATCAGTCTTTGTCTATATTGGAGAATGACATGTCTGCTAATAAGTCCAGGACATGGAGAATCCCAAAGCTGTATTCCACATATTAACATCTTTCACTAAGGAAATGATTTTGCAATTTACATTTTCAAAGATAAACTCCTACTCCATGCATATTACTATTCTGTGAACATAGTATTACTACATTCCTTTTATAAATCAGAAGATAGGGAGAGAAAGCTGCAAATCACTCATTGGCTATTTGAAATACAGATTCCAAAGAAAATACCACATTTAGTCATAGCAGTAGCATATTTTAACAATAATGTACAACATGGAGAGATCCTGGAATTCCAACTTTGTAGTATGAATACATCCAAACATCACCACATGTACATGATGCCTGGGTAATCACGGCCTCAAAGTCAATAAAATTCAATACCTAATTCTAATTGATCTGAACATGACTGAAAAAATAATGCATATAACTTTTACTCTTTCAATTTCTAGAAACAGATGCTAATACATTTCTTACTTTTAAAACAGAACTTTATACATGTGTTTCCTTTTCAATGTATATATCAATTCATTTAAAAACTACAGCCTAGCACTTAACTGGAAAGCTTGCCTAAATGCCTAGCAGAGATGCCTCATGTCACAATTCCATTTCTATGTACACATTGGTATCAACACAGGAAAGGTGGGCATGAGAAGATAATAACAAACAGACAAGGATTCTTGAACATAATTTCCCTGAGGAACCCCACCCAGCTCCAATCATGCCACAATCCCTGTACTCTCAGAACTTGGATAAATAGCTTGCACTAAACTGATTACAGATCCCTTCCTGTCCCCCGGCCCGACTGTTCTTATGCTATTTTCATGTATGTTGTTTTATAACCAAATCAGGCTAAAAACCCTTTGAGGGAAAATATTAGTCACACAGGACGTTTTAAAATAAATATTACTATAGCTTTTTCTTTGCTCTCACTCACAGGGCCTAGGATGATGCAGGCTTTTAGATATGGGGTCTTAAAAACAATGTTAATAATTGTTGCAGCTGCCTTTGGAGTTCTTTTAAAAAGGAAAATCTCTTAATGCCAGGGTTGTAAATCTTTTAAAAAATATTAAGAATATGATACAGCTGTATAGTACCTCAAACTGTACCATGCACTTTTATATTAACATTCTCATTTTATACTAATACCAATCTGGGTGGTAGTTTTCCCAATTTGGAAACCAGACTCAGAGAGGTAAAAGAATTGTTCTTGGTTCTGCTGTAACAAGCAACAGACCCTGGGCTAGAAGTGACTTCATTTCAAGACACTATGGAATTAAAGCATGTGAAAGACCACAAATAAAAAATAAACACAATACATGCCCACAACACACACACACAGACACACACACAGACACACACACCCAAGACCACCATTTACAGAAAACACCTCAGAAAACAGATGACAATTTTGGAAACTGGGTCAGTTCACTTCTGGACAGCAACCAAAAAGACTGGCCTTGTTCTATCAAGTACTTTCCATCTCCTTTGAAATAGAGAGAACCTGGTTGTTTTGCAGCCAATTCAGTTTAAGAAGCTTAGCAAAATCTACAGCTTAAAAAAGGAGACTACATCTTAAATATAAAGCATTAGGGATAAAGATACCTGAGTGATCATGGTGGAATCAAGGTTTCTTTTTTTTTAGTTTATTATTCAATGTTTCTCTTTAATTTTTTCAGAAGTTGGATTCCTCTAGTACTGAACAAAATGAAACCACAGATACATTTAAAGGGTGCCTTGAAAAAGTTAATCCCATAAGCTCCTGTATGACTTCCACTTAGTTGATCCTAACAGTTGGTTCAATGGTCAATCTTAGACTTCTAAAAGGTTAATAATTTGTCTTTCCAGGTAGACAGAAGTATGGGTAAAGAAGAAAGGTGGGCCAAACTAACAGAATCCCAGCACTCTGGGAGGCTGAGGCGGGTGGATCACTTGAGGTCAGGAGTACGAGATACACCTGGCCAACATGGTGAATGAAACCTCTTCTCTACCAAAAATATAAAAATTAGCTGAGCATGGTGGTGTATGCCTGTAATCTAAGCTACTTGGGAGGCTAAGGCAGGAGAACAGTTTGAACCCAGGAGGTGGAGGCTGCAGTGGGCCAAGATTGCACCATTGCACTGAAGCCTGGGTGACAGAGTGAGACTTCGTCTCAAAGGACACATGCACATGAATGTTCATTGCACCACAGTTTGTAATAGCAAAGACCTGGAACCAACCCAAATGCCCATCGATGATAGACTGGACAGGGAAAATGTGGCACATATACACCATGGAATATTATGCAGCCATCAAAAACGATGAGTTTGTGTCCTTTGTAGGGACATGGATGAACCTGGAAATCATCATTCTCAGCAAACTGACACAAAAGCAGAAAATCAAACACCACATGTTCTCACTCATAGGCAGGTGTTGAACAATGAGAACACATGGACACAGGGAGGGGAGCACTACACACTGGGGTTTGTCAGGGGGAAATAGGGGAGGGACAGTGGGGGGTGGGGAATTGGGGAGAGATAGCATGGGGAGAAGTGCCAGATATAGGTGAAGGGGAGGAAGGCAGCAAATCACATTTCCATGTGTGTACCGCAATAATCTTTCATGTTCTTCACATGTACCCCCAAACCTAAAATGCAATAAAAAAAGAAAGCAGAGATAAAGTAAGTCTAATAAGAGAGAATTGACAAGAAAAAACGAAGGATACAAAAAATGGAGAAAAACAAAGGGTAGGTGAGCAAACAAAGACATAGGTTTGGTAACATGGCCAAGTGCCCCTCACCAACCAGGTCCTCACTATGGAAAGGACCCAGAGATTCAGGCCCTGGTGACAATTCCACAGCCTATGATTTCTCTGGGGTTATACTCTCAGGTGTCAGCAAATGGAAGTTGGAGAAAAGTTAACACCAGGCCTACCTGATTCACCACTATTTGTTTACCATCGACTGCCATCTACCATGGAGAGAAGCCTATTTCACCTGGATCACTGCTAATGTGGTGTAGAGGTATGCTGAGAAGAGCATAAGCCACCTTTATCCTATGTTCTTTAAAGAGGAGCTTAAGTGTCAAGGGGTGTGTGTGTGTGTATGTGTGTGGTGTTGCTTTGGCCCTTGAAAATGCAACGAATACTTACTACCAATATTGAATGGAATATGGTGAGTTGGGCTTTTCTTCCCACTCCAACCCCCACCCCCTTCTATGATGTCCATTTTAGAAGCCTTCTGTAATATATATCAAAGTTGGGTAGGTCAGGCACTCCTGTGGGAGACAGATAGGCCAATAAGAACAAGCAGGTCACTCTTCGCAGTGTTAAAGGTCTCACTGGCTTTTAGACATAATGCACCCTGAGGCCAGCCTGTGGGATGGACCATTGTCCCTACCCTTCCCACTACCACACCCAACAGCTTAGGCAGACGGCTGCAGCATAAGGGCCTATGCCAGACCCAAGAGCTTTTGGAGAAGTAGTAAGTGAAGTAATACAAGGTGAACAGGCTCTGAAGTCTAGAAAAAAATGCTCTTGCATCTAGGACTTAGAAACTTGGAAAATCAGATGGACAGGTGATAGCAATATCCCTAATTTCCTCTAGTCTATTTTAAGGGGTAGAGTAATTCACATGGCTTTGAAGTTAAGTCTTGTCAATCTTCAACTGAAAACTTTCAAGTGAAAAAAAGTAAGACCATTTTATTACAGAAAGGCTAATCCCTCCCTTCTAAAATAGGAGGAATGGTGCTGGGATTAAAAGATCCAAAGGCAAAGAAGCTAGACTCCTGCCCCCCTTCTCCCAGTACATACACACCTCCTTCCCAA